AGGGCAGACTCCTGGCATGGAGAGGTGACCCTTCTTTTTACTGCCCTTTCTGGTCCTCAACACACTGACCCTACACCACCATTAGCATGTCCTTCTGCTGTGGGCTGCCCCAAACCACATGCTCCCCTCCCCAGATGCCTGTTTCAGAATAACTCTAATTACCGAATGCTGGCTGAAATGGGCAGGGGGAGAGGAAGAATGAAGTGGTTGAAAGACAAGGATTATCTTCTGTTTACTTTATGAGCAAGTGATCCTCCCTGACATCCTGCCCCATTAATTTTGCTATTAATATTTGCCACTCTGCTAAAGGATTAATGAGCTCTAAGTCCCTTAGTCTGATGTCTGACACAGTAAATGCTAAGGGAACAGTGCCTATTATTGGTTCCTTCTTTCTCCATTTCTTCCTGAGGTTTCCCCTTAGCTCTTCTGGCCCCCACCCTTCTCTAGACAGACCTCGTCAAATCAGAGGGTTTGACCTGGGAGCTGGCCAGAGACTGAGAACCACTGGGGTCCCATAGGTGACCATCTCTGACACCAGTCCAGTCGTCAGAATCTTCATGGTCTGTGCGTCTTGAGGACTGTGTGCCTGCCTAATTAGCCTGCCAGGCCTGTGAAGCCCTGTGTGGTGGGCCTAGCAGCAGTCTCTGCTGGTAAGCAGGGCTTTGCCTCCTCTCCTGGGATCCCGCAGCATCTTGTCTCTGCTCTGGGCTGGGCTCCCCCTGCTGGAACCTTTCCTACCTGCCGAGTGTCCTGTGGCAACTGTTCTAGAGACAGAGGTGTGCTAGGTAGGGCAGGCAGGGTTCAGAGAGACCTTCAAGGCCATCTAGAGAAAGAGGACCAGAGAAGAGAAGAGACTTTCTTAAGGTCACACACCTTAAGAGGTGGTTAGGATGGAGCCACAATGAACACCAGAGTCACTGCCTCTTCTGTGCCTTGGCGCCCCCTGTGCTGTTTCCTGCTTTCTCCTGTGGCCCCTCCTTGAGCAAAACTTCCTTTAGCCCTCTGAGCTTCTGGTGTACACATATTTTTAAATAACAACCACAACAAAAGCAGATAGATTGGGTTCCTATTCTGTGCCAGAACTAGCCTGGGGCTGCTTTTTATGCATGTTGCTGACTCTTATAAAGGGCAGGAGGGTGTTAGGAGCAGCCCCGGTTTACAGATGGATAATTGAAGACTTTGGGAAATTATCACTTGCTTCAGGCCAGGCAGGTCTGCCATGGAGAAGGCAACTGGTCTGACTGCAGAGTGACCTGTTCCCTCCCACCTGGCATCTTGAGGATGGAAGCCCAGAGCACTGTTTCTATTCCCCAAGTTGGTTTCCTGGACTCTGCTGGACTGAGGGTGGTGAGTGCCCCTAACTGAGTGCTCACACTGAGCGTGTCAGGGGGGTTGATGAACTGAGGGAGGAGGTGTGGCATTTGAGAAGGGGATGGTGGTGATGAGGGTTTAGAAGACTGAGCTTACTTCTGTAGGGCTGATACCTGGTAATGAGATGAGTGAACTTTAGTATTGCTAGAATGTGCATTGTGCTAATTTAGTAACAATCAGGGTTTGGTTCTGGCTTTGATTTCTTTTGCATATGACTTTTATTGCAGAAAGCTTCTTTCAGACTGTTCTTGTTAAATCCCAAATTAAGCAAGAATCCCAGCAGGAAGAGAGCAGCTGCAGGAGACCAGGCCTTGCTCTTTCACACTATGTTGTGAGGGTGTTGGTTTGATGTGATCTCTGTGTATGTGTATGTATCAGTTGTGTCCCCTTTTAAGAAAATTTAAAAATAACTCTCTGCCAAAGATGTGGGCACTTGATGCTGTGTTGCTGAGCAGACAAGCTCCTCCCATCCGTGGTCTGCTACTCTGCTGATGTGGCCTGGCTGACGTGGGCCGCTTGTCCTGCTGGTCCTGCTGGTCCTTCCCAGACCCTCCTTTAATGTGTTTTCCAAGAGGAAAGGCCCAGGAAGCCATGAGGAAGAGCGGCTGCCTGGTGGCTCAGGGAAGAACTCAGCTGTGGGGGACAGGAGTGGGGTGGCTTTGTATGCTTCCATGTGGGAACCAAGGGACCCGGATCCAAGTTGCCTGGACACGCCAGCAGGAAACCAGAGAGTAAATCCAGGACAGAGTGTGATTATGCCCTTTTCACTGCCAGGAAGACTGAGAAACAGTAGAAAGAGATGCACAAGTTACATGCCAGGGTTAGAGATAGGAGTAGCATCCGTGTGTCTGGAGCCAAATGCCTATAGGTCCTGGAGATTTGTTAGAGTGTGATCTGTTTACCTGCCCCTTTCTTTGCATTCTGTCCTTGGTGTTCTCAGGATCCCTTCCCTATACAACAAAATTAAGCATGTCGTAGTTCGGAAGTGTCTCCTTATGGGTTTTAACATGAATTTCTAGTCACTCGTGCATTCTACAAATATTGATTGAAAACCTGCTCCTCAGCTCACCAGTATTCTAGGCACTGGGGTTATAATGGTGAGCAAAACACACAGGCCCTGTGACCTGGCCTGGCTTGTGTTCCTTGGGGAGACAGCTGTGAATCAAATGACCACACGACTGCAGACTGCCAACCATGACGTGTGCGGTGAAGAAAACAAAGGATTCGATGAGTGCTCTTAACATGGGTCTTGGCCTGGTCCCAGGGAGACAGAAATCTGTGGTCACTGTTTCCAATCAGCCATTTTGTAGTTGGGCAAACATTTTGTTTTTGTTTTTGAGCCCAACTATAAGAATTTAAAAATTATTTTTCATTTTACTGTCCTTCAAGCTCCAGTCTGTGTGCTGATATTCCAGGGTTATAGTTACCAGCAATATGTTACCTGTCCCTATTTGCTTAGTGTAACCCACAGGTTTGATACTTGCCATGTTTTTGTCCAAGTTATTGTGTTGGTTCTGTCCGACTCCGAATGGCTTGCCAGTCCTGTTGCATACCAGGGGCCTCTGTCTAAGAACACTTAGATCTGGATTCTCTTCCATGTGGTGAACAGCATTGGTTTTTGTATCCCTTGCTTCCTTTATCAGCCATAAAATATTCTCCATGTGCAAGGTCTTCCGAGTCTGGGATATGTATTCCATCTTGTCCAAGGACTTAATTGGCTTAAAGGTATTCTCTTCATTAGTTTCTGTCTCAGGCTTCAGATCTCTCTGGTCCACAAGTGTTCAGTTATTCTCTTTGAAAGAAAAGGTGGAATCAGGCTTGGCGCCCGTAGCTCAGTGAGTAGGGCGCCAGCCACATACACCAAAGCTAGTGGGTTCATACCCGGTCCAAGCCTGCTAAACAACAATGACAACTGCAACAAATAAATAGCTGAGCATTATGGCAGGCACCTGTAGTCCCAGCTACTTGGGAGGCTGAGGCAAGAGAATTGTGTAAGCCCAAGAGTTGGAGGTTACTGTGAGCTGTGACGCCGCAGCACTCTACCAAGAGTGACATAGTAAGACTCTGTCTAAAAATAAGTAAGAAAAGATGGAATCAAATAGGTCTCTATTCATGCTCTTCCTCACTGTTTCTTCAGATTGCCACTAGTACTTACATAAAACCACTTTTCCCTTTCTTCTTGTGTATTTTAAGAAGGGCAGAAATAAGAGTAGATGGTAACGGGGAGAGTAGGTTAATAAGCTAACGTGATGGTTCTCAGAGTATGCCGGGATCCTTGTATTACCAGATGAAAAGGGTCCAGCTACCTGTCACTGTCAGCCAATATGCAGAGATACGGATAGGTCCACCAAACTTTATGTGTCAGAAGGCTGGGATTCTGGAGAACAGTGAGAGTCTAGCCTCTCCAAGACTGTCTGTTTTTCCATTTCCAAAATTAGAGTTTCATACATGAAAGTTCAAAGCAAAGACCACACCAGCCCCTATTCCAAATAATCATCAGCATAACTCAGTGACCTATTACAACATTCCAATTCAAAAGTTAATCTCCTATATCAATCCACATAAACTACTCAAGATAGGCATCTTTAGGGTGGGAGCTAAATTCATAAAAAAATAAGAGTGGGAGACAGGGGGTGAAGGCCAGGCAGGACCTAAACCGACCAGACCAGCCGTGTCATGTCCCCTAGCCTGCCTGGGTCCATCTTCTCACGATATGTGGGAATGTGTGCTTTCATTTGGGGGTCCCTGAGACTTTCAGGGGCCCATGAGGTCCAAACTTATGTAGGAAGATATCATTTGCTTTCCTTCACTCTCATTCTCTCTCAAGTGTACAGTAGAGTTTTCTAGCAGGTGTTAAATACTATGATGTCACATGGACTAGATGCAAAAGTAAGTATTGAAATTTAGCTGTCTTAAGCCAGACATTAAAGAAATTTACAAAAGTGAACTACAACTCTTCTTATTATACTATTATTTCTTTTGGAAAATACATTGTTTTTCTTAAAAAGTTATGTTGGCTTGGCACCCATAGCTCAGTGGTTAGGGCCACATACACTGAGGCAGGTGGGTTCAAACGTGGCCCAGGCCTGCTAAACAATGACAACTGCAACAACAAGAAAAAGTAGTTGGGTGTTGTGGCAGGTAACTGTAGTCCCAGTTACTTGGGAGGCTGAGGAAAGAAAATCACTGAAGCCCAAGAGTTTGAGGTTGCTGTGAGCTGCGATGCCATTGCACCCTACCAAGGGCGACATAGTAAGACCCTACCTCAAAAAAAAAAGTTATGTTAACAGGCCAGGTGCAGTGGCTTATGCCTATAATCCTAGCACTTTGAGAGGCTGAGGTGGGTGGATTACCTGAGCTGAGGGGTTCAAGATCAGCCTGAGTAAGAGCAAGATCCCATCTCTACTAAAAATGGAAAAAAAACAAAACTAGCTGGGAATAGTGGCACATGCCTATAGTCCCGGCTCCTCAGAAAGCTGAGGCAAGAAGATTGCTTGAACCCAGGAGTTTGAGGTTGCTGTGAGCTATGATGCCACCACACTCAACCAGGGGCAACAGAGACACTCTGTCTCAAAAAAAAAAAAAGTTATATTAATATATAATGGGCTTATTATTGATATTTTATAATGAATTAATATTTCCCAGTTTTGATTTCTAATATAGTAAATATTGGTAACTGTAACTCACAAGCAAAAGTTCTTTGGAATCCTCACTAATTTTTAAAAGCATAAAGAGCCATGAGCCTGAGGCCAAAGGAGGTAGGGGGTCTCTTGGGAGAACATCAGCTCCTCAAGAATCAGACATGTCCTGATGGAAGAGCTTTAATTGATGGCATTGCTAATTCATTTGTCCACAGTCTGTCCAGGTGTGAGCTGTACAGGATGAGCGATTCCTTTGGAACTTTGAAAATACTTTCTCCGTGGGCCTCACTTTAGAGGTGTGCTCCCAGGACAGTTGCTGTGGTTCTCCAGGGCCATTAGACCGGCACAATGGGGTCTGATGCTTGATGTGAACACAGTCTGTGGGGCCCTGGTGCACATCTCAGCCTGATGCCTTACAGGAATCACAGCACAGGAGTTCTCAGTCCACCTGCTCTCTGAGCTTACCTCTGACTCTGGGGATCGTAAAGAGGGCTTCTTCAGCTCCAGGAAGAAAGAGCTGGGTCTCAGGAGGCAAATGTCTCGTGCACCCTGGGCAGTAATCCCAGGCCAGATGTGCCAAGGGTTGGAGCGGCATTCCAGGCCAGATGTGGAGTTGGGAGAGTGCCCAGCTCCTCCGAGTGCTCAGCTCTCTGCTTGCTCCACACTCAGATTAGAATCTGTAGCTCCAAACAAGTCAAAACCTGTGAGCTTCTACCGTGGCTCCCCTAGGTCTCCATTGCAGCGGCAGCCAGAGGTTTCAAAGGTCACACCAGCTGGGCGGGTGAGAACAACAGATCTCCCAGACCGGGTGAAGTTGGCTGCCCAGAGGAAGGCAAGTTGCAACATCTGCGAGCAGAGTCAGAACAAAAGCCCCTTAACTTTTTCGGTCTGGGCTTTGGCTCTGTGGCGTCCCCAGCTCTCCTTCACTTTTCATTTTCTGCTGGACCTTTGAACAGGAATTTCTACAGGACGGTGGTGAAGTGTGGCTGTCTTGCGGCCTGACTCATGTGAGAGCTGCGGGTGAAGAGGCCACGGTAAGGTGTGTCCCATTCACTGGTGTGTGGCCCTGCCCTCTTTGCTCCGGTGGATCACAGTAAGTCAGCCTGGCATAGCTGAGGGGCTGCTCACTCCTGGACTAGGCACAATTAGGGAATTTGTCAGGATTTGAGTGCATTGCAGAGAGGATTAAGGTGGGGAGAGTGGAGCTCTCAGTGCTTGGGGCACTCGCACATGGGTTTCTTTGTAGCCACTGACGTGTGCTGTTGGAGGGGGGTCCTTGCAGACTTCAGAGCCTGCTTGGGAGCCCCTCCCTGCAGGGGAGGTATAGTGTTTCTATGATGCCCTGCAAACTGATAAGGCATTTAAAGACAGCAGTCACTGAAGTGTATATACTTGGGTAGGAAAGAGGCACTGGCTTCTCTAAACTTGTTCTGCCATATAACTTGACCCCAGATTTTTTACTTTTTTCTAAATCTTTTTGCCTCAGAGTAGCAATCTCTTTTGGCTATGGTTGAAAGTGTTCCTTTCTAGGTTCAAAGACAATTTAAAGGGCTTTTGATCAAATTAAAGTCAAATTAACTCAATGATACTTCAAATGATGAATAAATTATGTTACTCGTGAAACCTTATTGGAGGTGGGCTTTGGCCTAAAATCATTGAGGGGGTCGAGTGGGAGGAGCTCCCAGCTCTTGGACCACTGTTCTTTTTAAAACCTCCCCCCCCGTTTCTTTCCCTTGTTTACAGAGAAGTGAGTGAATAATCATGAGTTTAACTGGTATTAGATGAGACCCCCTAGCCAGTGTGTTTGAGTCCAGCCACTGATTATCATTCTGCCAAAAGGGAAATTATTGCAGAAATCTCAAGCCTCTCCGGTTTTCTTAATTGGAATGTAGTCAACAGGCTTGATGGGAGATTAGAGAGGATCAATGGATAGTTTGGTTTGATTTATTTTGTTATTAATTTTTTTCCTGATAGACCATTCCAAATATGCCAGTAACCATTAATTGTGTGGTAGGAATCTGTTTATGCTGATGATGGCAGTGGGCAGGGCGATGGGCTGAGGGTGAGCAGAGCTGTTTGGTGTGACTGACCAGCTTGGGACTTGGCTCTGGTCCTGTCCACTCGACAGTTGAGTAACTCTCCCTGAGAACCTCTGCACAGTGGGCTAGATGTTTCCTTGCCATATTGACTTGCCCGTTCCTTTTGTAACCTGAAGTCCAGCCTCTCCTAAGGATGAAAGACTCCTGTCTAACAAGTTCTTGAGGACAGGCAAATTCCTTTTGATGTGAGCATCTGGAGCCTTTGAGAGATTTAGATGGATCTCAGATCTTGCATCAAAAGGTTTTGTGGAAGGGTCCTCGGCCTCACCTCACCACTACTAGTCCTGAGAGCAGAGGTGGAGAAGAGTCTCATGTCCTGCAAAACCAGGCCTGAGAGCAGAAAGAGGAGCCACGTTGCCTACTCCCCCTTCCTTGGTGCAACTCCCAAGTTTCTGCCTGTTGCATCTCTCAGTACAGAAAATGCCTCATCTGGGCTTCAGGGGCCTCCGGAAAGTCAGTGGGATATGACTTTGCAATTAGACCTTGGTTTGGTTTCCACGTCTTAGCTATGTGACCTTGAACAAGTATAGTCAGCTTTCTGAGGCTAGGTGTCCCCACTTATGAAAGAGTCATAATCAGAACTGCTTTGCAGGGCTGTTCAGACTGAATGAGACTGGTGTCCACAGAGTGCCAGCCCCATGCACCTTGCTCATTAAATGGTGCTGATAGTGTGGGCACAAAGGGAAGCTGCCCCAGGAACACAGGCCCCCCGCCCCGCCACCTCACAGATTCTGCCTCTGCCTCTGCCTCCCACTGCTGTCGTCTGGGAATCCCAATCAGATAGCCTTGCCTGAAGAAGTTGGGCTGGCCTGGACTCCTTGCCGTCCTTGGTGAAAGGAGCTGTGTCTTCAGAGAGGAGGCTGGCTGCCCTTTGGGAACTAAATGAAGATAATGCCAACAGCTCCCACGATCAAATGCCTTTTCTGCCGTTCTTTGTATTTTGTATTTGCTGTCATTCAGATCCTCTCTTCAACCTCATGAGGTTGATATTATCATTCCATCTGACAGAAAAGGAAACTGAGGCCAGGAGAGTTGAAGTGCCGTGCCAGGCCACAAATGGAAAGCAGCAGTGCCCCTGGATGTGCATCAGGGTCACCAAAGCCTGATCCCCGTCATCTCTGCCCTTGACCCCAGCCCTCTGCCTGGTCCTGGCTATACTCATGTCTCTGTCACCTCTTCCTGGGGCAGCAGACGAGGACAGGGAGCAGTGTTCCCTCTGGTGTGCGGCCCTAGGCAGCTGTGAGGGATCCCAGAGTCCCCACCTTCCCCACCCTGTTACCACACTCACCTCGCAATCTCACACACGTGTGCACGCACAAGCACACCTCCCCCCATGACTGCTTACTGTTGTGTATACCTAATGCCTAGCTTTGGCACGTGGGAGCTGTTCAATAAATAAATTAGGTAGTTTTAATTTGAATTACATTGTAATGAAATAGTGTAATAAACAGTCAATAGATATATTTTAAGTGAATGGACTTGTCCTGATTCTTGCCATTCAAATCATATTATGACTACTTTTAAAGTGGTTCTGTAAACACATGTGAAACCATAACAAGATGAATCTGGCAAAATGTCCCTTGTTGAATGTAGATGGTGGATATTTGTGGTGCTCATTTTATCATCTTGCTATTTTTCGGTATGTTTGAAATTTTCCATAATGTTTCTTTAATTTAAAATTTCTATGTCAATCAAATTTGTACCATTATTTCATCATTTTCCTTATAAATTTGCACTCACATAACTGCGTACTATTCCACTGTATTTAACCAATTCTTGCTATTGGATTTTTGTTTTTGTAGAGACAGAATCTCACTTTATCACCCTTGGTAGAGTGCCGTGGCATCACACTGCTCACAGCAACCTCCAACTCCTGGGCTTAGGCGATTCTCTTGCTTCAGCCTCCCGAGTAGCTGGGACTATAAGCGCCCGCCACAATGCCTGGGTATTTTTTGTTGCAGTTTGGCCAGGACTGGGTTTGAACCTGCCACCCTCAGTATATGGGGCTGGCGGCCTACCCACTGAACCATAAGTGCTGCCCTTGCTATTGGATTTTTAACTGGATTGATAAAGATGTATCTAGTTTTTTTTCTATAAATAATGTAATTAGTGTTCTTATAAGTAAACTTTGGACTGTATCTTTGATTCTTTTCCAATAATATATTTCTAAATGTGGGATTAGATAAAAGAGATTTTTTTTCAGAATATTTTTGCCAAATTCCTTTCAAGAAAGATTGTACCAACTTATATTCCCTGTAAGAAGCTTTGAGCAACCCATCTCACCATGGTCTCACCAGTATTGTATGTTCTCTTCCTTTTTAAATGTCAGTTTGGTTCATTTTTTTTTTAAAAATAGCTTGTTCTTCATTTGCACTCTTGGGTTATTAGTGGAGCGAGGCGGTATTCATTTGTTTATTGTCATGGGTCTGTGATCAGACAAGCAAAAGCTGGGAATACGGTTTCTCTGTGGTTGTCCAAGTCACATCCTCTGCTCATGTATCTGTCAGGCTGCTTTCTTCTTTGTAAAGTACCCTAGTCCTTTGTTTTTGTGCAAGCATTTATCCTACATTATCATCCATTTTTAATGTCGGGGCATGTTTTGACACACAGAAAATCTTAAATTCTTTATGTATGTGGTGGCATCTCTCAGCTTTCCCCTTTATTACCCTAGCGTCAGACCCCTTTCCCTCCAGCCAACTCTGAGTGTTCACAGGAGGCAAGAGGCCCTGTGGCTTGAGTTCAAATGACATTCTCGCTCCCCAAATGCATGAATTTGGATGAATTTCTTTTTTTGCTTTTAAGTTGCATTCTCTCTCTCTCTCAACATTTTAAGGAGGTGCAAAGGTTTTTATTACATAGGTACACTCTACAATATTGAAGGCAGGTCTTTCCGAGTGCCCACCACCAGGACAGTGTTCATTGGACAAATTTCTTAATCTCTCTATTTCTCAGGTTTCTAATCCGTGAGGCAGGGATGATGACCTTATCTATCTGACAGCATTGTCATATGGCTGGAAAACAGCAAAGTCAGCATACTTTCCAAGAGATGCATTGTCATGTGTTATCTTTTAGTGGACAGAAGAGTTTGACAAGGAAACTGCTTGACATTATGAACTGACAGGTGTGCTATGTAAACCTATTTCTTTACGTTTCGGTGCTGTTACAGACAAGTAGAATATACGTATATGGTTGTCAAACAGAAATGTAAGCATCCTTTCCAATCAGTAAGATATTTATTATTTGTAAAATGCTTAGAAAAGCTCCCCACGTATAGTGAGTGCTACACAAGTGTTTGCTGCTATTTGCAGTGAGCCTGTGAATCTTATCATTTGGAAAGGAATTTTGTTGGTAAAGTAATGGCCTTATCAGTGAAAGAGAAAGCTGGTTTTATCAAGCAAGGGATATGCCCTGTTACAGCCGAACCTAGTCACGTTGTTGCTTTAACTTGAACTTCAAGATATATCCCTTCGTTTTTATTAGGTATTATTAAATTTAAACCAGCTAATTATATGTTCCAGAGAGCACTGTGGTTTCATGTCAGTTGACCTGACTCACAGCATAGGACTTAAGCATGTGACTAGATAGCCGAAGAAAATGAACAGGAAAGCAAAAGCTGGGAATACGGGTTCTCTTCAGCCAGCAGATGTGTGTCCCAGGCCTGGGTGCCAAGGATTTCATGATAAGATGTGGTCCTCACCTAGAGCTGTCCCAGCCTGGTAAGACTCCCACCTGGACTTGGAACCTGAAACAGGAGTACTGAGGATGCATTCCAGGTGATGGCAGCGGTCGTCCCGTGACCTTGACTCGAGTCTGCCTGCCCAGCTCTTCTCAACTGCAGCCGTTTCCCCAGCCTGGTTCTCCTGCCTTTTCTATGGATTTTGGAAGCTCTCCCCCGCCCCTATCTTCCCAACAAATCCCTTCTTTATTTATGAGAACCACCGCCAGTTTCTGTTGTTTGCAACCAAGAGCTCAGATTGGTACCTGTCGTGATTCTACTTTTTGGAATCCATCCTAAGGAAATCATCAGGAATTCAGACATAGATTTAGGCACAGATAGGCTCATCATGGGGTTTATTATCATAAAAGATACAGAAACCATCCAATGACCAGCAGTAGGGAGACTGTTATGTAAGTTATACAAACATGTGATGGAATATTTTAAAATCCGATTTCTTAAAAGCAACTTTCCTCCTTATTTTAAGAAAAGTTGTGGGTGAAGGAAAGGAAACAGTTACATATATAATATGCTTTCAACCATGTAAAATATGTGTCTTTCTACATTCATAGGAATAAGATTGGGGGGAGATGCACCACCATTCTGTGTAATAGAAATGAAAATGGGTATTTTCATTTATTTTCCTGCAGGTTGTGTAGCATGGCTGAAAGAGCTCTGGGGGCTGATTAATCTGGGTTCAGTTTCTACTTTTGCCACTTACGAACTGTGTAATGGGGAAGTTACCCCCACCTGTCTGAGTTTACCACCTTCATCTGCAGAATGACTATACCCATTTCATGGGATTGTTGAGGACTGAAATATATGAGATAATGTATCAAAGTGCTTGATACAGTGTCTGGAACATTTTCGGTATTCAATAAATGATAGTTTGGTATTTTAATATGCTGATATTTTCTAACTCTGAAACACACTTAAAGTTGAGAATAACTAAACTTGACAAAAGAGCAGAATGTCACTGTGTGGTTATCTCACATCAGCCCCTTGGTTCCCGCTAACCTAGCCAGTCCCAAGCCACATCTTGTCTCTAGTTCCCACTCAGTGTTGGACCAGGAGCCTGGGCTTAGAGCAGCGGTTCTCAACCTGTGGGTCACGACTCACAGGAACTGTATTAAAGGGGCGAAGCATTAGGAAGGTTGAGAACCACTGGCTTAGGGTATTCTTGCCAATGATGCCAACATTTTTCTCTGTCTCCTGGGGCAAGTGACTTGCCTTCTTTGGACCTCATATAAGGGAGAATTTAGCCTGGATAATCTTAAACGCCTCCCTTCTCTGGTAACCTGTGACCTTTGAACATTTGTCACAATTTCCTCCCCAGAGATGGGGTGGCTTACCTTGCCCACCTCCTTCCCTTCATTCACCCACAGCTCTCGCCTCACCTTGTCTGAGGTCTTTGCTATATTAACCCAAACTACCTTCCTATCCCAGTGTTCTGAGGCCTGAGAGCACACACATTTCAGGCAAAAAGCAGCCATTACTTCCTACCACAAGTACTTCATCTAGATATTGATTCTGAAGGATTAATGACTGTTATATACAGATTTAAAGTTATTATAAAGACTCTGAAAACCATCCGATTTCTCTGTTCTTGTCCCCAGCTGCCCCTTTCCTGGAAGAAGAGAACAGTAAAAAGATGGGGAGCTCTTCGTAGGGTTTTGAGGAGGCAGCCCCTGGGGGCTGATGTCTGGGATGACTCTTGCTCCCAGAGAGGAGCTCCATGTGGACACAGACCCAGCTGGGTACCTACTCACATGAAACCCACACCAGCAGGTGGGGTGTGCCTGTGCCTGAAGGGGAGACAGCTGTGTGCTTCATCTGTCTGATCCAGGCTCTTCTTCCTCTCTGCAGACCATGGGGGATATAAAGCTGGCCGCCTCATCACACGTTTCCAAAGCATCCCTCAGTATGGATTCCTCGAGATTCGGCTCCATCCCCCTGACCGAGGCCCCTGCCTTCATTTTGCCCCCTCGGAACCTCTGCATCAAAGAAGGAGCCACCGCCAAGTTTGAAGGGAGGGTAAGAGTTGTGCTGGGTGGGTGGGTGGGCTGCTGCTCCTTCTCAACCCTTCTCCTCAGTTGGCAGGATCTAGAAGTCCTGATTTTCTTTTGGACCCTCATGTAACATGAATATATGCCGCTTTTCTCTCTTTTGTTCATGGGGGGCTTTTGCCTGTGTTGGAAAACTTGAGGGCTGGGAAGGAACACTCCAAGTTGACTGGCCTGTGATATTTTGCTGTTAACACGAGTTATGTTCTGAGTTCATGCTACCGAATTATAGAAGAAGACACGGCCTGGTGGCAAGAGGAGAACAGCTTGGGTGTAAATAGGTGCCCTCAAATCTAGACAAATAAGAACTGTCTGTAACTGTTCTCTCACTTTTCCCTGGAAGGAGTGTTCAGCTAGATGTTCTATTAGCATTTACGTGGTACCCCAGAGTAGGAGGTGGGAGAAAGGACTCCGTATGTCAAGTTCTGTCACCTTACTTAACTTAAATTTCACCATTTTAAAATGAACAGAGTCTTTACATGCATTCACCACATTGACCACAGTATTCTTAAAATGTAGCATTTTGTATGTGATGATTTCATTTTTCTTACATTGATGAGATAGTTGACTTTGTATATTGCATATGGTGAGTATCGAGCTGCTCTACTGCTTACCCCTCCACACAACACCTAGGAGGCGGCTGCTGCAGAGCGCATACAGAGGGAGGACCATTCCAGAGAGATGTTCAGACAGACAGAGTGCCTGCCTAACTTGTAGGAAGGAACGCAGAGGGAGAGGCTGGAACAGAAAGTGCTCTGTAACTAGTGAGCGGCACTTGTGTGTTGGTAGTAAGCAGAGAGCACGAAGAGACCTCTGCATCAGGGAAGGGCCGCCTGGAATGATCCCAGAATAGAGAAACTGATACCAATGATGAAGGTGCACAGGGCATGTTCCTGACCTGGTCCTCTCAGAGAAGTGAGAGAGGCAGGTGGTGTTAGCCTGGAGTGATGTGGGCTTTGAGCAGAAATTGTTAGTTATGAGCCTAGACTCCAACTGCTCCAAGTGTGCAGCTCCCCACAGGGCACGGTCAGTGGTGGTCTGCCTCCAGGGCATGTGACTGACCTTCACTGTCCTCCGGGCCACTTAACCTTGCAGTAGCTGACCCCTCCTCCAGGTCCCAGGACACATGCTGGTCTAGATGCTTATTCAGCACCAATCCAGTCCTGGCATCAATCTCTGGATGACTTTTAAAGTGTGAGTAACTTTGTAAAATTGCATCTTCAAGCTTCTTCTCATGCCCAGGCTGAGCCCCATCACAGCGGGTGAGAATCCTTCCTTCCTTGCCGCTGCCTCGACGCCTCTGGCCATTCTCCTTCCCTCTTCTTTGTCAAGTTGCCGCCACCAGTGAAGGGTCCTGGGGCCTCTCAGCTTCTTCCAAAGGGGGCTCAGGTGCCCTCTCATTGCTGAGAAGCATAGTGGATACCACAGATGTGAGAAAGTTATAAAGGCTTGTTTCCTACCATGTTCTGAGCTAGTATTTGGAAGTTGGTTCAAACCTGTGCTTTTGGCTTTTATTGGTAAAAGGAGTGAAAACTTTTGCCTACTCTGACCCTATTTCCTTTTTATGCCTATTTTTATGCGATGGACTTAATGAACCCCTTCTTTCAATAAAGTTCCTCTTTAGAGCAAAAAGATTTGGGTGACATTAAGATGGGACAGTAGGTGCCCCTTATGGTTCATGCCTTTTTCTGAGAAGCTATAAACTGTAACCCGTTCATCCTTATGAGTCTCAGTCTCTCACATCCTTCAGAGCTTTTTCACCATGTCAGATATTTTGGGCAGCCCACATGTCACCCATTACCAATCCCCTTTGCCCTTGACCTTTTCTATGCTGCGGGCACATGTAGACACTTTGTTTGCAGCTAAGGGTAGCCTAGTGATGCATCTGGGCTGAAATTAGCTAGGGAGCTTCTGTGAATATGCTTGCTTTTCTGATTAAATGAAGAAAGTAAAGACACTACTGGTGCTCTCATATTCCACCCTCCCCTGCTTCCTGCCTTGAATGCAGATGTAATGCCTGGTGTTCAGGCAGCCACATTAGAACCAAGAGGCAGCAAGCCAGCATACTGAGGATTGGTTGAAGGCCAGGAGGGAGCACAAAGACCAGCAGCTGAGAGACAAAAACCCCAAGGCTGAAAGACTTTCCCAGATTGGCTGCAGTTGCTTACACAGGAAAATTTACAAGAAGTATTCCTTTATTTAAAAAAAAAAAAGTTTGTTTTATTTAATTTTTACAAAAGATATTTCTAACTTATAAATGCCTAATGAGATGCATGTGTGGGTAGTATCTCTATAGATGATGGGAATAAATAGGGGAGAAGACATTATCACAGAGAGAACTAAAAACTCATTCAGACCCTTACCAGTGATGGGGGTGCTTTCTTCTGAGTTGAATGTGGTGCTATAGTTAAATCATTCTGGAGGAATTCACTCCTCCATGACTGTGGCCATTTGACTTAAACCAAAAGGGCCTAGGGTTTATGAGAGGAAGTGGGCCATATGGGTAAAGTGGTGGGTTAATGTCTTTAGGAAGCAATGACTGTTAAACCACCCGTTTTTACTTTTAGTTGTCTTTTCTCTCTCCTCTCCTCACCTTTCCTCTCTTCTCCTTTCTTTCTTTCTTTTTTTTTTTTTTTTTTTTGGCTCTGTCAGCCCAAAGTTTGGGCAGATTGTATTTTCAGAAACTCTTTTTTTTTTTTTGGAGACAGAGTCTCAAGCTGTCCCCCTGGGTAGAGTGTTGTGGCATCACAGCACACAGCAACCTCCAACTCCTGGGCTCAAGCGAGTCTCCTGCCTCAGCCTCCCAAGTAGCTGGGACCACAGGTGCCCTCCACAACACCCGGCTATTTTTTGGTTGCAGCCGTCATTGTTGTTTGGCAGGTCCGGGCTGGATTTGAACCCGCCACCTTAGGTGTATGTGGCTGGCACCTTAGCCAGTTGAGCTACAGGCGCCAAGCCCAGAAACTCTTAAAACTCTATCTTAGTACCACCCTCAGACTCGGGCAGCCAGAGCCCCTGTCCTGAGTCCACAATCTCTCTGTTCCTTCATCCAGCTGATCCTTCTTCACAGATCAGATGGAGAAGGAACAGCTGGATGAAGGAACAGGAAGATTGTGTCTGCCCAAGGGGTATGCCCATTGGAGCCAACCATCCCCTGTGTGCTGGGCACCCAGAATCGACAGGTTTTGTATCAAATGGCTCTGAGCACACTCCCAAGGCCTGTGTGGGCCTCCTTCTGTGAGAAGACATTGCTAGGCCTGGGTGGCCTGGTCAAGGGGCAGCTGTTTGCATGGGAGGACAGTAAGGTAGGCCGTGAAACTCAGCCATGGAACTCCATTGTCCACTCACGTGCCTATGAGGACTTCTGCAGTGCTGCATGTAAGTAGGGTGGGAAGAGAAGTGCTTAGGACAGCATCACTGCCTGAAGTTCATGCCTGGCCTCTGGGCTGGCTAGGGGCTCCCATGTATAGATGACCAGAGCCCCACTAATGCACAGCTGGCTGAAATGCCCCCAGCAGTTTTGCTACCCTTGCTGGTGGCTAAAGTGTTGATGGGCTGCTTTCCCCACCACGGAGTCAAGTGTGGAAAGAGCAGTGGTGGGAAAAGTACTGAAATTACTGGAGATTTCTTCCCCTCTACTGTGGAATTTATTCTTATCAGAAAAAAAGCAAACACGGTGATGGGCCCTGCCTGTGCTGTGAGTCAGATGAGCTAATCCCTTAGTGCCTGTTGAGAAGGACAGCTCAAGTGAGGTTTGGGGTCAGACTGCTGGTTGCAGTGTTGGCTGAAGTGGCTTCATGATACCTCATTAAGGCATGTTTAAGTCCAGGCTGTGGAGAGCGGAGGAAGGCATGTGAGAAAACCCAACCCAAGAAAGCATGAATAATTCCTTGATTTCCACTTGAACCCATAGTAGGGTCCTCCCAATAATATCTTCCCAGCTTACTTCCAACTCTGAGCAGTCAATCACTGTGATGGGTGCCTTGAGAAATTTGAAGGAAGTGTCTGATTTGTTTTTTGTCCTCAGGAATCTTAATGAGGTGGTTGTGGAGAAAAACAGGTACATACAAAACAACAGGACATGACAGTGTATAATTAGATGCTTGAATTTATTCAGTAAATAGCGATACTCTGGGAATTGAGAGGAGGTCAAGACGAGGCTTGGAGTGGCCTGAAAACAGGCTTCCTGCTTCTGACATTTGCCCTTCCAGTTTGTCCATCCTTCTGCGTCAGAGGTCCTCCTCCATGCAGTCTGACCGTGCCACCTGCTCCATGGCCTGGAACCCTGGATGGCTCCTGCCATGCAAAGGTCTTCAGGCTGGAAAGCCTGTTGGGACCAGCTCCTCACTCTCGGCACCATCTCCTTCTCCTCCCTCCTTCCATCTCACACATCCCAGTTACTGTCCTGCTCATCCTGTCCCCACCCCACCCCCACAGGTCCTCTGCTTTGGCATCAGTTTTGTGGAGAAAGGGTAAATGACAAAAACATTTCATCTTCCCGAGGACTCAGGTTAGGAAGGGGTCAGAGTAGGATAGTGTGTATGTTAATGGCTTGCTGGGGCCAAGCATAAAATCGTAGTCATTTTCTCTTCCCAACAGGTGGTTTTGAGGGGAGGAAGCCAGGGGCTCAGAGTGATTACAGAACTTGCCTAGGTTATACCAGTAAATAGTGGAGACAGTTCTTTTGGCCCTAAAACTAGTATTCCTCACACGGCACAATGCCACCCCTTTCACATGTCCCGTCTGGTACCTTGGATGGAGTGCCTGCTTCTTTTTATCTTTGTGCCCTAGGAGTAGCACAGTGCTGATGCCTGCCACATGCTGGGTGATCAAGAAGTGTTTGGCCCCCTGCGGGGAACCAAGGTGGTGTAGTGTCTGAGACTTCAGGGGTCTTGCCAGTCGAGCCCCTAGGATCTGGCCGGAGCTTCCTCTAAGGCCCCATCTCTGTTGTGCCGTCAGCGCTCCCTGCCG